TTACAGGAAATTAAATATTGCTCTGTGTGTGATTAATTTTTTATATGTTTTGGCCATTTTAAAAATTAATTAATATGGTAAACTTGCTAATAAAATAGCATGCAGTTGAGTCTTATTGGAAGAAAAAAGAAAATACAGAAGCTAGCGTGGTTTACACGAACTACTTTTTATCAAAGATACTCAAGATCTCCAATCATCAAGACTATAAAATAAATAAATAAATAAAATCAGACCAAAAAAGTATTTTAATTTATTAAAGTACGTATACGTATACACATTGATGTCATCTACTATTAACAAATTAATTTAAAGATTGGTTTGTTGAAAAATAATAATAATTTAAAGATTGGACTTTAATTCAGTATGAACTATTCATAATGGCAACAACAATAATATTCCCTTTGGCCTTTGCTGATAGATTTATTATTCCTTCTTGAAGACCATTGACATGCTTCCCTTTAAAAAGTATTGCCAATTAGACGTAAACATTGTTTTTTTTTTTTTTTTTTTTTTTTTGGCAATTTGTTAAGTCCCAAATTAATGACTCGACATAATGATGATGATTAAAGTATAATGAGAAATTGATCGTGGGAATTAAAATGGGATTAATGAATTATTAGAATATTTTATATCAAAAGCCGTCTGCTCAATAGAGACATGCAATGTGTTAAAACGTGATTTGATTAATTTTCAAGGGATCTTAATTAACAATAAATCTTAGTCCTTTGTCGTCTTAATTAGCAATAACCCTTTAGAAACACATAAGCATTAGACAAAAATGTGATGCAATACCGTTAAGAAAATATATCTAGCCGCCCTTTCCCCACTTCCTCTCTTGCCTACCCTCTTTAATCTTAGTCTTTTCGTATTTTTTATTCAATGTATATATTTTGTTATAAAAAATTAGCATTATTTTCCTGCAAAAGAAAAAAGAAAAAAAAACAATGAAGTAATTATATGAATTGATGAAATTAAGTAGTTAAGTACCAATTAACAGAAACACTCAATGATTTAATTAATTAATTGCATAGATCTAGAATGTCAACTTCAAAAATATAAAGTTATAATTAAAGACAACAATCATTATTATAATTTTACAATCAAACTTTAGCTCTAGAAGTCTAACAATCATTATTAATTAGGCATAGCTCTTTCTATTTTGATGCCTTAATCCACAAGCAACCATCTTCTAGCTAATTGGCTGCTATATTGTTTTTTTTTTTTTAATTAAACTCCATTAATATTGAATTCTCGATGTCATTCATAAAAAAAACCAAAAAAAAAAAACCAAAATTAATTAATTAAAAAAGACTTTCGATAATGTTACATCGATCAACTAGTTATTAATAGACTTTGAATTCTAAATTGTCGAATCTGAAGCTACAATCTGGAAAATCAACCTGTTCTTGTCCAATAATATCCTTGCACTAGAGTCTACACAAATTTTATGTACGCATGTAGAAATACACATATTGTATAAATTTCATATACGTACATACTTACCAATTTTATTTTATTTGAGGACAAATTTATATATATATATTCATATTCTTAATTATATTCTAGTCAAGCATTTTAATATTTTAAATTAAATAATTATATATATGTATGAGATAAAACATGTTTATTCACAACGATTAATTACGTATCAAATTAATACCGTATACTTATTAAAATGGCATTGACAAGGATTCCCTAAACTTTTGAAATTAAGCATGATGTTGATAGCAAGAGATTACCTTAATGATGTTGACATATAGCTGTAATATTTTGTTATCCAAGTTGTGGGGAAGAAATAAATTAATTATTTTTAATGGTAGATCGATCCCCAAGCAATTTGAATTATAAAACTGTGATTATTTTAGAGATTAGTGATAATCACTAGAAATTATGGTAATCATTGTGCTTGTAAGTGCTCTGCATATCCAAGTCCACTTCTCTCTCTAACCGTCCCTGTAATTCTGTTAGCTAGCTTATGTAATTAAGCATGAAAATTAACATATATATATATTTGCATGATGTAAATTATTTACGTATAAAAATTAATTGATTTACATTGCTACTTGTTGCTTAATTTTAACTTTTTTCTCTTTTTTTTAATTATTTATTTATTTATTTCCTTCTCAAATACTTAAGGGCAGATCGATGTTAAAATTTTGAAAAAATTTAATTCATTATTGAGGATGAATTGATGGAATCATTTGTGAACATAATCACACCCCTTGAAATGACAAGCTAATTAATTAATTAATTAAGACTTGTAATGATACAACATCATCCAATTATTAATAGACTTTTTGAATCTACTTTGTCCATAGCTAGTATGCTCTCATGCCGACAAACTAAGCCAACCTGTTTCAGCAATTGCATGTTGACTATATGTATAGAATATTGGCAAGGATGCCTGAGACATTAGGTAAGCATGATGATTCATAGCAAGAGTCATTCTGGAATGAATTTTTTTATAGAGTTAATGCATAGTTAAATCTATCTTTGTATCATAAGAAAAATTTCCAATTGAATTATTTTTATTCTTAAATATATGTTAATTTTCTAATATATATTTTTTGTTAAGATTTTCAAACTAAATCACTGAAATTATTCACGTGATTTTCAATCTAATTTTTATGGATTAATACCCTCACTTGTCCTTATATAATAGATCATTTTTTCAATTTTTTTTTTAAATGTTTCTAATATGTCGTAATGTTTTAAGTTGGTTTATAATACATCATTTTAGTTAAAATTTTATGCTAAATTAAGTCAAATTAAGCATGAGTTTTGCACATAGTATGTGATTTGATAAAATTGTTTACGTTATTTGACACAAGTGATCTATATTTACAAATATAAAGATTAATTTTTAAAAATTTTGACCAAAATGATACATTAGAAACAAATTCAAAATACAAAGACAGATTGAAAACCTTTTTTTAAAAACATATTGAAAAATTGGCTTATTATATAAGAATAAATGATGGTATTGATCCAATTTTTATTTCTAAAATACTCTTATAAACCAATCAAATAGAAATATTTCATGTGCAAATCATGTGATTGATTTCAATATTTAGTCTGAAAATCAAATAGAAATACTTAATTTATATTTAAAGATAAAATAAAAAATATAAAGATAAATTATAAAATTGCCTTTTATATAAGAATTGATCAAACCATTAGCCTTTTTCAAAACGAAAGAGAAAAAAAAATGATAAATTTCAAGCCAAACATTCACATTTGGGTGTTCAGGTTGGGACGACAGAATTTGGTATTAATCCCTGAGGACTTTGGTCAATTCTGATTGTTTATTTAATGATTATTATTTGTGAGGCAGGTTTTTTTATTATATGCCACAGAAATTTAACTCTTTATGAATTAATATTTATTTTCATATCATTCTTTGATTTTTTGCCGTATTGTTTATTTACAATTATTATAAAGTTGTTATATTTTATTGATAGATAGGGATTTGCTTTCTCGACTCAGAATTAATGTCAACAAGGTTTTTTTTTATTTTTTTTAATGGATGAAACAATTTTTAATTCTAAATCAATCCTTTTGACACTAATGCATTACCAACCAAGGAAATTAGCATGAAAATAAAAGGATAAAGTCTGAAATATTAGTTGCAGGAAGCTGCTTGTAGGTGAATGACTGAAAAAAATAATAATAATAAATAATAAATAAATAAATTCTTACCACGAGCTCCTTGGGCTAAGACTCAAAAGTTGATTTTTTAGCAAATTACTTAATTTTGAAATAGATTGGAAAGTTAAGCCTAATCTTGACTTGAATTACATTTTTTTTTAGTTAAATTGGAGAAGCAAATTTAATTTCAGAAAAAGAAACTTGTAACTATTATGCCACAGCTTGGGTTTAAGAAAAATAGATATCTGAAAATGAGATTAATAAAGTACGTATATCGAGATTTTATGTAATTCAGATTTTTTTAATTGAGATTCTAAATTTTTTTTTATTCAATTTTAAAATTATACTCTTATGTTATTATTATTTTATATCCTAATGAATCACATAAGTACACGTGGTAAGTTCTAATTAATTAAAGCTTGTCACGTAAGAATTTTTTTATTTTTGTTAAAATTCAATTTAGGCTCATTATGACACTTGACAAGCTGTTATTGACTAAAACTTACCACACGTGCTTATGTGGTACATTAGGATCCGAAACAATAATAATATAAAAATAGAACTCTTAAATTGAATATAAAAAAAAATAAGGTCTTAATAAAAAAAATTGAATAGTATTGGATCTCAATATAAGTGAAACCTTTTTTTTTTTCATTTTGCATTTTTGCATATCTAAAGAGATCCTGTTTGATCAGAATTTGAAGGTTAATGTTCTTATGCAAATTAGGTTAGTGTTACCTAATAAATTTTTTTATTAAGAAGGTAGTTGTCGAATTTGAATTTTGGATCTCGAAACATTTTTTTTTTTTTTTGGGAGAAAGCATCCATAATATGTCACGAAAGTTTTTTAAAATAAAGGATTAATATATAAATATATCTTTATATAATAAAATATTTTTTTAATATATTTTTTAATGTATTAGATTAACATATATTTTAGGAATTATCATATTATATATAGACATATCAAGTAATTTCTGATAAGATATAAAAATATATACCACCAAAGAATGTAGTTTAATAATAAAAAGGTTATTTCAGTTTAGTCAAAATTAAGATTTAATTACCACATTATCTATGAATGACTAATTAACCTTAGTGATATCGGATTTGAGCTTATTCGCTTTTAAAAAAAGCACACTAGACGAGCAAAAGCAGATTTAACTCAAAAAATGATAAATTTAGTTTTGATCGATAACTATCACTTGCAAAATATATATATATATATTAAAAAAAAAAACTACTACTACTACTAATCCTAAGGTTGCTAGCATAGTAAAATCACAAACACCACGATAAAGCTCCCGACTTACTGAGAATTCAAGAAACCAAACTACACATTGCATTCTTCGATGTTTATGCCTTTCAACTTAGAGCTGAAAATCCCAAACATATTGCCAAAATGCACATTCCATCATCTGAAACAAATCCATGCCTTGATAATCACCTCTTCTCTCACCAAAAACATCCAATTTTTCTCCAAATTTCTTCGCCGAACCACAGAATTCGGCAGAATGGACTGTTCCCATCTAATATTCTCCCAAATGGGTTGTGATTTATGTACAGAAATCATGCTTTGGAATGTCATGATTAGAGGGTATGCGTTCAATGGTCCTTTTGAGGAGTGTATACAAATGTTCGAGGAAATGCCTCAGAGAGGACTGAAGCCGCATAACTTCACGTATCCGTATGTAATAAACTCTTGTTGTGAATTGGGGTGGTATAAAAAGGGAAACAATGTGCATTGCCAGATTATAAAGTCTGGATTTGAGTCAAGCTTTGCGGTTGCCAATTCGCTGTTTAATATGTATTTGAAAATGCCGGCATCTTCTGATGTGGGTATGGCTAATAATTGCAAGTTAGATGATGCTCGTAAGATTCTTAATGATATGTGTATAAGACCGGTAGATTTATGGAATCATATGATAGCTAAGTATGTAAACATAGGCAATGTCAAGTCCGCGAGAGAGCTGTTTGATATTATGCCTGAGAGAGATGTTGTTTCTTGGAATTCTATGATTTCAGGTTACGTCAAAGTTGGACAAGTCGCAAATGCAAGAGATTTGTTTGAGCGAATGCCAGAGAAGAATGTTGTTTCATGGACTTCGATGATTGGAGCATATGCTGACACGGACGATCTTGAAACAGCTAGAAGGTTTTTTGAGACAATGCCATACAGGAATGTGGTTTCGTGGAATTCGATGATTTCAAGTTATGCTAAACACAGGAAATTCGTAGAAAGTTTGGACCTCTTTGCCCAAATGCAATCAGAAGGTGTGACCCCAGATGGGTATACTTATGTCTCTGTTCTGTCAGCATGTTCTAATTTGGGTGATTTAGAGTTTGGGAATTATATACACTATCTAATAGGAGATTTATCACGATTGGAAGTCGTGGTAGGGACTTCTCTTATTGAGATGTATGCTCAATGTGGAGATGTAGATAAAGCTTTTGCAGTTTTTGTCAAGATAGGAAAGAAGGATGTTTTTTGCTGGAATGTTATGATCAAGGCATTATCTATTCATGGAAGAACAGAGGACGCTATCAAAATCTTCTTGCTGATGCAAAAGATGGGATTGAAACCAAATGATTTCACGTTTACTAGTGCTTTGTTTGCTTGTAGCCATGGAGGTTTGGTGGAAGAAGGCCGCAGAATCTTTAATAGCATGGAGAAAGATTATAAGATTAGTCCAAAGATTGAACATTTTGGTTGTTTAATTGACTTGCTTTGCCGGAATGGCCAGCTCGAGGAAGCCCTGCTTCTGGTGGAAGATATGCCCTTTAAGCCTGATGTTACTATATGGGGAACTTTGCTTGGTGGTTGCAGAGTTACAGGGGACTTGCAGCTAGCAGAAAAGGTGGTAGAGAAAGCTACTGAGCTGGAAACAAATGAATCAGGAGTCTATGTGCTGCTGTCAAATATCCATGCCTCTGCAGGTCAATGGCTAGAGGCTGCAGATGCAAGAGGAAAGATGGATCAGAAGAAAATATGGAAGAAGGCGGCGAGCAGTGGTGTTGTTTAGGAAATAGGATGTATCCATGGAAACTGATAAATAACAAACAAAATAAACAGGGGGCAGTTTTTGACAATGTAGTTTGCAGTACAGATTTGCAAAGAAATAAAACATTTACATTCACAGCATTTTGGAATCAAGCAACTCCACAAAATTTCAAGTCACGTTCAAGATTTGCTTTCTCTTTCATTTACTTTTGAGGAAATCACTTTTATGTAATTCCAAGTTTTCCAAAGGAAAAAAAATCAGATCTTTCTTGATTCAGTCAAAAAATCTTGGGCTTCCAAGTTACAACCTCGAACAAGAAATCACAAATATTACACCAAAGCGCACATTTCAAAGACCGCAGGACTATCCTTTTCCATCTTACTACCCCATACAATGGCTGCTGGATAATTAATTCTGCTGACAAAATTCTGCAGCAAATCCAGCCACATAGCACCCTAACATACTTAAGCTAATAATCTGGAATCTGGACCGTGACTGTTTAAACTATAAATCATAAGACAGGGATCTAGTTAGCAAATAACCTAAACCCATGAAAAAAAGGTCCAATAAAAAGTCTTTTAACTTCGAAGGTTGACAGATACACATCACAACTTTTGGACATCCAGTCTAACCAAATTAAAAGTCTGTTCTAAAGTAATGTTGAAATTCGTGCTATATGTTGCCAATGGCCTCCCTGAATCAAGCACTATCGTAAAGGTTCAATCCATGCGAAGATCAAGCAGTAGTAATCATGTTGAACTGGAATCTTGAGAGCTGTTGAGGAATGGTTGAAATAACTGGTCCATATCTCTACACAAAGTAAGCAACACATTGTAAGAACAACTACTAGAAAATCATTGATCTAAAAAAGCATACTAGAGAATCATGACTGGTTTTTAAGAAACCTAAGGAAATGTGAGGAAGAAAACAGTTTTGCCATCTTATAAGCAGGAGAATAGGGGTTTTAGACTCAGAAAATTTCAATTTTTACGCATAAACTAGTTAATGAAAAGAAAATATAGCATTCAAAACCATAGAAACATCTCAGGCAATTGCAGAATCAGATCAAACTCTAAGCTCAGTCGATGAACAGACAATCCACGTGATCATACCTGCACATTATCATAGAGTTCAAACAACGGCACAGCAAGCAGTTTCAAATTTTTTGGCACTGCAAAGTACTCTCTTTCAGATAAGTGAACAAGGTAAAGTTTCTTGCACTCCTGCATTACCAAGACCGAAGAAAGAAATGGATGAGCATAGCCTATACAACCAGCTATATGGAGAAAAAAAAAAAGAAAGATCCAAATAAGCAAAGAACATGAGAATATTCATAGTTTACTCACCTTGGGCTTCGTTATGTGAGGAGGGCAATATGGATACATAATGGTTTCAAAGTTTGGCCTCCACCAGGTAGCCACACATTCACCAATCTGCAAGCAAGTGACATGTGGCCAAACTATGCATCAGATCATAAACTGAAGAAGCATCTACGGGCACACAGAAGCATGGGGAAGATGCCCTCTAAGACACTAACAATTTTTTTTCCAGGATATCAAGTTCCTAGCAGAAGTTCTATCACCATGAAATGCAGGAAAGAAAATACAACTAATCGCAAAAACATGCACCAGGAAGCACGCCTCAATTGGTTGTAAAACTTAATAATTTCTGGTATTGATGCGTCCAATCACAAGATTGACAATTTAGGTACAGAAAAACCTTATGCTCTGTACATGACTTTCATCTTTTCCACTCTATTCCAGTCATGTTCACTTTTTTTTTTTTTAATAGAATCCAATCATATTCTCCTTAAGTTTACACATATAGATAACAGTTTCTTAAAGTTGTCTTCATGAGTTCACACTCAGAACTGAAGATAGCCCAAAAAATGTTACCTGCCAGTCTGGCACAAGAGCAGGTGAATTAGCTCCAAGCTTGCTTGTCAGCTTTCTTTTTAAACCTTCAATTTCTGTTACATAAGCAGGGGCAAGATGAGAAACAAAATATCTCCTAAACAGGGATACAGAAGGAGCTCATTCCACTACAAACATACGAAGAGAGATAAACTACAAAATTGAAAGATAATACATAGAGAAGAGGAAAAATATACCATTCTCTCCAGGCTTCAAACGCCCACCAGGAAGTTTGCAGAATGTGTTTCCAATTTGCAGAAGAAGTATGTGAGGATGATTGTGTTCCTGTACCTGCAAGAAAATAATACATTGCTTCAAGAGAAGGATCATAATAATTGGAAAAGAGATGTCTGGAGCTATCACAGACAAGGCCATGAGCGATTAAGGCGAATAAGTATAAGATCACAGACCAGAAACTAATTTATAGAAGACGTGACAATAATAAGTCACTGGAGCAAACAGAACAGATATAGAAGACTTAAAAAGAAGACATGACGGAGCATGAGTTTCTACATCAGAGAAATTCTTACGGATCTTGGATAGAAGACATATTTCAAGAACTTTCTCGACTTGAATTAGGAATTACATACTGAAAATGAAGACATTGAGCTATCCCAGAGGCAAATTGTACCAGCATGAATTTCCTCGTGTTGAGTGAAACGGACGTTTATCTACACAGATTATTATATTTTTTCAAAAGGCCCCCAAATTCTCAAGAGCACAAGGGAAAATGTTTTATTCACTGGTCATTATGAATAATAAGTATCCATTCAATTTCACCCTCGCATGACCTACATCAAAAGGGTTTTCAACAACAAAATCCCAAAACAAGCAGATGACTGAAAATTAAGCAGCAACTGGTTGGACCACTCATATCTTATTTCAAGTGAACCAAAGATTATTATCTCATAGTAACACTACAGACACAATCAAACCTTTCAAACTAACAAACTACAAATACAACCAAAGCTAGCAGAATTGCAAAACACCATCACCATCCAACTTCATTTAGCAATATTTTAACTACCAAAACACAAAAAACTAGTTAAGAAAGAACCAAAATAAAACAAAAACATTACCAGCAAAATAGCTTCCACACTAGTCCTCATCCCCTCTTTCATATAACTGTCATTACCAAAACAAAGAATTAAAATTTCCACTAGGGTTTTGCTAAACAAAGAAATCTAGGGTTTTTTTTTTTTTACACAATTCCAAAAAATCAACCACTAAAACTCCAAGAGAACCAAAAAGAACAAAAGGGGTAGTATCTTTTTACTTGACTTTCATGCGAGCAAGGCGATCCGCCACAGAAGTGTCTTTCTCCATCTTGGGTTCTTTAGTACCGAATGTGTAGCTTGATAAAGGGTATGTATTCACCACCGCTGACCCTGCCCCTACCATCTCTCCCTCTTTCTCTCTGTTTATAGCCCAATTTTTTCCTTTTAGTGCTCAAAGTTTTAGCTTTTGGTGTTTCTCTGTGAGTTGAACCTGTGCTTTTTTCAGTGTTTTCCTCTCTGTAGATCGTCCAGCTTAGAAAGAAAAAAGAGCAGAGTGGGAAGAGGGTAATAATAGAGATTAGAAAGATTTATAATTAATTTGAGATTAATTTTGGGTTTATTAGTATTATTATTATGGCTTTCTAATTACGACTACTGGGTTGGGTCTATGAATTGTTTAGGGTTTCCTAATCTAGCCCAGTATTACCTAGAGACCTTTATGGTAGCCCAACGTGAAGGGGTAATTATAGGATGATTGTAGAGAGTTTTTTTTTTTCCCCCTCTCAAATCCTTAGAGCTACTATTCAGATAAATTATTTTAAACACATCAAGCTGGATGGTTCATTCTTAAAATCGTTTAGAAAGAGATTTATTTTGAATTTACACAAAAATATTTTTATTATTAAAAAAATATATATATATAAAATGAAAGAGATTTTTTTCGATTAACGCACAAATCGATACAAAAATATTTTTATTATTAAAAAATAAAAAAAGATTTATTTTTGATTGATACATAAACTGATATGAAAATATATGTGTGTGTGTGTGTTTTTTTTTCCAAAATAGGTTAAACTATATAGTGCTGCCTAAAATCTCCTATTTGGTGTAAAATTACATCTTTATCCTCTTGATCAATGGATTTATTATACAATATAGATTTTAACAAATATTCTTTGTTGATCCATCGTTACCTTTTTTTTATATTATTTATTCTTCGATTCAATTTTAATGTTAAAATATTAATTAAAATTTATATTATATTATTATATATGAATATAATATTTTCTCAAGAAAATCTACGATTATATCTCAACTAAAAGTTTCTCCGATTAGATTATTGATTGTATAGATTCAGTTGTACTGTGTTTATCAAAAATGTTTTTTTTCACATATATCTTTCTTTCTTTTAATATTTGCTAAATTATTGTACAAAATGAATTGTTTTGTATGTTTTTTGTTTTAGCTATCCGATCTAAATTAAATGTTTGTGGTCGTCCGATCGAACATTGTGTTCTTTCGATCTCAACCATTCGTCTAAAAAAACTTAACAATCTCATCCATTAAATCATATGATATATAAATTCATTTTGTCCCAATATTTGAAAGCCTCCATCTTCTACCATTCTCTTTCTCACCATGGACGAACCAGCCTTCTCTCTCTTCCTCTCCCCTGCTCTTTTTTTTTTTTTTTTCCTTCCTTTCTTCTTCTTCCTCCTCTCTCCGTCTCTTCCTTTTTCTTTTTCTCTTCTTCTTGCGTTCTCACTTCTCCCGAACCTTCCATGGACTAACCAGATTTGGTTTGTCTATGCTCTCCTTCTTCTTTCTTTTTTCTCTTCTCTTTCTTCTCCAATAGACCCATTCTTGATAAAGGAAAGAGAAATTATCTGTAAAACCCACTTTCGTTTATTGCATAAACTAAATAAAAAAAAGATAAGAATATAATATTTAACTCTGTTGAATAAATAATATAAAAACATTTGCATTTGCAAGATGCTGCCTTTTAAGATTTGTCAAGACTTTTTTTTATTTATTTAATCTTTTTTAATATTATTAATCTTCTTGGTATCAAAGTCCAAGCTACAGGGTAGGCTCAAAGGATATGTAGATTAGTAGCTTGGCATATTGATAAGTAGGCAAAAAAATGGTTAAAACTATACTGCTGAGATCTCATGAAAGAATATCAGAAATTGATCTTTTATATTCCCTAGCATCACAATGCTACAAGCGAACTGTTCTACAGTTAGATCCTGAGTAATTAAGCACATGATTTAAAATCTTGAAAAGGGAAATAAAAAAATTGATCGTGGTTTTCCAGAATAATTTAAAGCTATTGATCATTTACGGCTCCTTCTTGTCAAGTCCAAAGAAATATGGCTATGGAACTATACTTCAAGTTAGCGCTTATCGAGTAAGGATTGCAACTAATAATGGTCAACAAACAAGTTTTAGCTGTGTTTTTAAAGATTTTCAAGGAATATGAAATCCTTTAGCTATTGGTTCTGCAAACAAAGATATTTTTCTTCCAAGCATACTCGAGGATGCCTTCATTTTTTCAAATTTTATACCCGTTGCATTTTTATACATTTATTTTGCCATGCTATTTAAGAAAACAACGCAATTACACAACATGCATTGACATTAAATTAGTTTGCCATCACATTTTAAACATATTTTAAACAAAATGCTAAAGCACTGTAGTGTTTTTACTGTTTATTAAATGTTCACTTTTTTTTTTTTTTTTGCTTGCCTTGCCTTGCCTGTAGCTCGGTTTTTTTTTTTTCTCTCTCTTGCTGCTTTAAGCCTCTCTTTTGTCTTTAAATTAATTTTATATTTTAATCCCTATTTTGTAACTTTTGTTTTATTTTAATCGTTAAAATTTTATTATATGTGATTTTTAGTTCTATAATAAATCAATTTTTTTCCTCTTGCTACAATTTTTAAGCTCTTATTTTGGCTTTTAGTGAATTTTATTTTTATTTTAATTCTTTTTTTGTAATTTTTTTATTGTGGTTATTAAAATTTTATTTTAGCCCCTGATTTATAATTTTTTTTATTTTCATCATTAAAATTTTATTATATTTAATTTTTATTCCTATAATAAATCGTTTTTTTCTCTTTACGTATTTTTTAAGGCCCTCTTTTGGCTTTTGGCGATTTTTATTTTTATTTTAGTTCATGTTTTGTAACTTTTTATTATTTTAGTCATTATTTTATGATATTTGATTTTTTATCTCTATAATAAATATTAAAATTTTATCATATTTGATTTTTGTTCCTATAATAAATATTTTTTTTTACTTTTAGTAAAAGCTGTTCACAGATCTTATTGTTTATAAGTTTTTTTTTTTAATAATTCTTTTATGATCTTTAGTTTTTTTTTTTATCATTTAATTTTGATCGTGTGTAATTTTATCTCTATTGGTTTTTTTTTTTTTTTTTTTTGTCAAATTCTCAATTTGACAAAGTTTTTTGTCTTTTTGTTTTGGGTGATCTCTCTATCTCATTAACAAATTACGGATGAAGAATATATGATAAAAATTAGTCATCTAAAATTCAAAAAACTACCACATTATTATTTTAATTATCGGTTATTATATATATTTATAATAAAATAAATGTTTATATCAAACGATATCTAATTAGCAATATTATATTACTCAACTTTGTCTGTAGACCTTTTCGTTTAGCTAACCCTACGATAAAATATAAGATATGTGTTTTGGTTCTTTTTTTAATTTTTTTTACGTGATTCTTTTAAATAATTATTTTAAAATTTTGTATTTTATATGAAAGAATACATAAGAATGTTGTATAACTCACTCCGAATTTTTTTCGCATGATCCTTTTATATAATTATTTTTAAATTTTGTATTTTATATAAATAAACACATAAGAATATTGTATAGCTCATATCGTGAAAACGCACGAAATATATACTAGTTCTATCAAAAGCAAAATTAATATGCATATACAAACGCAACACAAACATACATGCTGCTCCCTTTCATGTTGTGAATACGTCATACCATCACTTTCCACCAATTAATCAGCAATGGTATTAAAAAAAAAAAAAAAAAACTTATCTAACTATCAGAAATGCTGACATAACGTTGTACAGGGCCTAGAAAATTGGCACATTGGGCCATCCAAAAAAAAAATTGTTAGTTTAAATATTATTACTGATTTAGGGCATGATGTATAAAATACAAACAAAACGTGGCATAGTCATCCAAAAAAATTGAACCTTCCATTAAAAAACAATAATTTCTACCTATTTCCAACATCGAGCGACAGTTCACCCGCTGCAGAGCGTGGGCCTTAAGCTAGTCTCAAACTAAAATTTTATCCAATTGAGTCTACAAAGTCTCAAAAATTTTGTATGGATAAGCATAGGGTTGTGAGATAGATATTTCATGACTCAAATATTGTGTTTAATAGGCTTGGTAGACTATTGCATCTTGATTGAGCTATTTTTAAAGCCATGGCCTATTTAACACGCTAAATAAATGAATGAAACTATATTATTTACAATAAAGATGGTCACTCCTACATGTTTTTTTAGACTTGTGAGATAATTATTGAGATTTTCCATATTTGGTGTATAAACTTTTTGATTTTTTTTTATTTGAGTGTAAAAACTTTTAAGATTTTTACAATCTAATGTTCTTATTAGGTTCTATGAAAAAATATAGTGTAATGATCGTTAAATTGACAAAACAGCATACTGACATATATATCATATGTATATATAACTAAGTGTCTGTATTTTTAATTTTATTTGAGTGTATGTTTTTTTATCTTTTTCTGTATGAGTTTGTACTTTAAAAAATTTATTGATGAATGCTATTAATTTTCGAATCTACAATATCTATTTTGTAATTTTATGTAAGCCATATTTTGATCTAGTTAACTAAAATTAAAAATTAAAACAACAAAACAGTTAAAATTTTATTCAAATTGAAAGTACATAATAATAAAAAGCATAAAAAATGTAAATTGATTTTGACCAAACTGACTAGGTGAGGGGAAAAAACAACAACAACAAAAGAACTGAAAATGTAGGATTTGATGAAACTTGGTATAGAAATATATATATTGAGAAATTGGAATTTAGGTAAAATGGTATTTAAAAAAACTCAGATTCGTTGTATGGTGAATTTATATATGGTGTAAAAAACAATAAAAATAAAGACACTCAAATAGAAAAATAAAAATACAAACACTCAATTATAAATAAAGTAGAATGTTTACACATATCTGATTATGAAAAAAAAAAAATTGCGATTTCGTATCTAAGATATGTAATAATCTCGATAATTATTTTCTACTCCTCCTTGACGTGATAGCATTTTAAGTCGCTACAAGTCTAGAATCCAATTACTTGTTTTTTAGTAATGAAATATGATTGAGTATACCAATATCGATATAAACAAATTGACATCCTAAAAAAAAGGATTTAATTGAAAGACACCAATGATGTAAATAAAATACAATCCAACTCTCATCCTACATGCACTTTTAAAAAACTTAAAAGAACTTTAAAATAATTAATCTGATATTTGATTAATTTTTTTCGTTGTGCTATTTTCAATAAAAATATTCGATATAAATCTTATTTTGAAATTTATAACACAATTTTATCAATTTTGTACTAGCATATATCTCGTGTGTTATCAATTTTGATTAGATACACATTGTTTCGATAACACAATTTTATCAATTTTATCAACTTTTATCAATTTTATTTTCCATTAAAAGAACTCTTCATATATATAGAACGAAAGAGAATTGTTTCTTTGTCCAATACCCTCTAGATCGGTACTAGCATATATCTCGTGTGTTATCAAGGGATGTACTATACAACATTCTTATATAATCATTTATATAAAATTTAAAATTTAAAAATAATTTTTTAAAAGGATCACACGAAAAAAATTCAATAAAATAACTAAAACATATATGTTATATTTTGCTTCAAAGCTAGCTAAATGAAAAATCTGCAAAGTTAAATAATATAATATTGCTAATTAGATATTGTTTGATACGAAATGTATTTTATTATGTGGTAGTTTTTGAAATTTTAGATGATTAATTTTTATCATATATTCTTTATCCGTAATTTGTTAATAAGATAGAGAGACCACCTAAAATAAAAAGACAAAAAAGCTTTGTTAAATTGAGAATTTGATAAAACAAATAGAGATAAAATCACATACGATAAAAATTAAATAATCAAAACAAAATAAAGATCATAAAAGAATGGTCAAAATAAATAAAAAACTTTCACTAAAAGAAAAAAAAACTTATAAACAATAAAACTAAAAAAAATTCATTATGCATAAGGCAAAAACAAAAATAAAACATGATAGAATTCTAATGACCAAACTTAAAAAAAAAATTCACAAAACAAGAACCAAAATAGAAAATATTTTTTTTACTAAAAGAAAAAAAATAGAATATTGAAACTGTATTTAATTTTAATGTAAAAAGAACAATAATCAGATATAATAAAAATTTAATGATCAAAATAAAAAAAAAGATCACAAAATAAAAACCAAAACATAATAAAGTTTTACTAAAAGTAAAAAATAGTTTTTTTGGAAAAAAAATCAAATATAAATAAAAATTATAAAACAGGAACTAAAAAAATAAATTTTTACTAAATTTAATAACCAAGAAAAAAATCATAAAACAAGAATTATAATAAAAAGAAATGTTTCACTAAAAGATAAAAAAAAAAAAAGAAAAAGAATTTGGACAATCCCTTTTATTTTATTTTTGTTGATATTTATAAATAATAAAATATTTATAAATTAATTTTGTATTAATCAAAACTAAATTGATTATTTCTCAAATTAGAAAGTCAACAGGTAAAATCGTACTAATTAGATCCAAATGGTACCAGAATTTTCAGAATATTCCAATTTGGGAATGCTGATCCCAGTCAAGAATTATCATCTTGGACAAGCAGTTGCCTGAAAAGTTGCATTAATATATGAGTACGGTGCCTGTCCTTGTCATCTTACAAGGGCAGAAAAGTCCAGCTGATATTGGTATGACATTTCATATATCATAAATTCATCATTGCCCCAAAATTGATCAGAAAAAAAAAAAAAAAAATCTTCCTTTGGAAAAGCTCCTACTTCTTAGACGAGCCATACGGATGAAAAAATAAATAGTAAAAAAATTAGTAAAATATAAATATTTTAATTAGAAATAAGGCTGATTGGTTCTAAAATATTATAAAATTTTGATCAATTTAAAATGATATTGAAAGTTCCCAAGAGACACAAGAACTATTAAAATTATTAAAATAATAATACGTATTATACAATATATATTTTTAGATTAATAAATTATTAAAACAACAGTACTTATCTTCTCAAAAGCGTTTAACATCGGATAAAATTAGTTAACCAAATGGACAAACTTAATCATATATGGGCTATAAAAAAAAAAAAACAGAGATCCAAGACCCAATTCAGAATTAAAAAAAAAATTAGTGTTTTTTTTTCTCTATCGACTAAAAAATTAAAATACTTCATAACTAATTAGCCAGAGATAATTACCAAAAAGCCGAAAAGAAGCACCATGATTTGAGTGACTAAAGGTGAGATCTGTTAGATATCAATGCAATTACTTTCATAATAAACTGTTAGATGTTCGCAAACTTCAAAACCCTTGAAAATTAAGCTGAAACAAAACGAGTCTTATGTTTCTTTCCTTTTCTCATCATCCATCCTGGGTAAGTTAATTTTCGGATCAGTATGTAATAAGCAGACAAAGATACCTCATCGGAATAAAAGTTCTTTATAGTTCGGTCTGTGACTTCCTTTTGCCTCGAAACACTTGCAAGACCCCATCGGATCCTCCTGTCACAAGTGTGCATCGGTCTTCCCCAACTTGCCGCCAGCACACGCTACTAACGAACCCACCATCGCACCCATCTCTAGCCATTGGGTCAGACTCATGAACCCATATGGGTTCACCCCATCTTTTGTCATACACGAACACCTTATTGTTCTCTGAGCCACACCCTAATAACCCACCATTCTTCCATACCGATAATCCGATGAAGTTCCGGTGGTTGACATGCCCCTTATACGTCCGAATCACGTTCGCATTATCGGAATTCCATAGCTTCAGGCATCCATCTATGCTAGAAGACACTAACGTAACATTATCAAGAAATTTAATGTATGTCACGGTCTTCCTATGCCCATTCAGAACAAATACCGGGTCAACCATCATTCGGATATCGTACCCGTATGCCTTCTGGTCGGCGCATCCGACCGCCACTATTGGTCCACCAAATGGATTAAACTCAACGCAACAAACAGCACTGCGTCCCACGCTAGGCTGAACCGTGGCCACACATTCCTCACTCTCACAACGTGTGTCCCACAGTTGCATGTTTCCATCATCCGACCCGGATGCACCCAAAATAGGATCCCAATGCGAATAGTCCACGCTCCAAACCTTCCGGCCGCCATGTTCGTCACGTTCGAAGATTGGTATTCTCCTCTCGAGATTATATTCCGTTACCACCCCGTCGTAGTCTCCGGCAGCCAGAACCCTCCCGTCGGACCCGGGTTTCCATCTGATGCTGCTAAGCTTAGCTGGGGTACAGATGTAATAGTCGCATGCCCTAGCATGGTCTAAGAAAATGATATCATGCGCATTTTGGCTACTAGATTCCTGTGGTAACAAAGACTCGAGGCTATAAATTCTTATCTTTCTTGCTATTCCACCAGTGGCAATGGTGGTATTCGTCTGGTCGAATTCGATGACCCCTAAAGCATCTGATATGGCTGCGCTGTTGTTGTTGCTTGAAGAAACTGTCGTGGAGAGACTGAAATCCCATTCACATCTGGCTCTTTCTTCTTCTTGCTCTTGTTCTTCCCCTATGGCTTCATTTTCCTTTCTTCTTTCTTGGTTCTGAGATTCTCGTGTATGGTGGAGGTGACTATAAGGATGGAATTTAGTAGAGAAGTTTCTCATTTCCCATTCAAGATATCTCTACTGGAGATGTATATTTGGAGGTTTTGTCTTGGCTTTTGGACCAATGAAAGCTTGGCTCCATGAACCTAACCTAGCCTAAGTTCTATACTTTTGTATATAGATAGATAGGGTCGTTGTTGTCTTGATTTTCCCATTTTTCCTCTCCATTTGATCGTTGTCTTTATTAGATTCTTGACTCTTGACTCTTTTCTCTTTTAGTATGCCCACTGTTTGCCACAAACTACAGCAGTGCCATTTAAGGAACTACGTGTCTTGTTCAGGATTGCATATATATATATATTCCATTTCTTTAAAGGTAAAGGTTTTGAAAATGGTTTTTGGTGGAGGGTTTTTAATGAACTTTAATTACAGTATTAAGATCCCATTAATCTATTATTAGCTCGACGAACTTCTCACCTCTTTCTCTCTCTCTCTTCCTACCAATTTAAAAATAGATTTAGGTAGTGTTTGGTATTGTTTCTCGAATTACGTTATGGATTTTTTCTAATATTTTTGGATGGTTTTGATATAAGAATATCAAAATCGTTGATGTGGTTTTAAATCAAAGATGTTTTCAATCGCATTATCAAGTAATACACATTTAGTCTGCTTAAGAAAGATTTACTTTCAACACCGAAAAACGAAAAAACTGACCTCGACTTTTAAATCACCAAACGAAGAAAGAGATAAAATATTAGTTAATAAGGGTTTAAATATTCTTAGGATGGTTGATTATTAATCCAAGATAATTAATTGT